TTTGGCGGGACCGGGGATTGAACTCAGGCCCTCGCGCTTGCCAGGGACGCGCTCACTCCCCTGAGCCATCTCCCCGGCCCGAGCTGACTGCTAAACCTCGATTGCCCGAATTCATTGCACATCCCCCCAATGCGGACGCCCACAGCCCCGACCTCGGCCGGGCGCCAGCACCCCCGCAGCCCCAGCCTCGCGCGGCGCGGCTGGCCGGTCACCCCAGCACTCGGGGGGCCGAGACCGCAGGGCGGCGGGCTGGAGCCCGGCTGGGCCACGCAGCGAGCAACAGGAGCCGTAGCAGGACGAGCGCTTCCGAAAGGCCGGGAGAGAGCGCCCCGCTCGGGCCCTGGCGGCGCGGGGAGCCGGCGCCCAGAAGCCGCCCCGGACAGCCCCGCCTTCCGCCCGGAGGCCGCACCTTCCGGAAGGGGCGTGGTCGACCGGAGTTCTCGCGAGACGGGAGGAAGGCGCTTCCGCTTCCGGTGGCATGGCTGCCCAGGACCCTGAGGGTGCGCCCGCCGGGCCGGGCCAGAGGAGGGAGCAGTTCGGAAGCCGCTTCCTGAGTGACCCGTCGCACGTCTTCCACCACAACGCCTGGTAACTGCCCGCCCGCTGGGGCCGCGGCGCTCGTCCTGCCGCCCCGCCGCCCGGACGCTGCGCCCCGGCCCCTTCTCGCCGCCCGCAGCCGCGCCCGGCCGAGAGCGGGCCCTGAGCGCGCTTGGTTTTCGCAGGGACAACGTGGAGTGGACGGAAGAGCAGGCTGCGGCGGCGGAGAGGAAGGTGCAGGAGAACAGCGCCCAGCGCGTGTGCGCCGAGAAGCAAGGTGGGCCGGGCGGACCGCGGCACCTCGGCCGGGGCGAGCGGGGGCGGCGCCCTTCGGCTTGGTGGGGCGCGCGGGCGCCGCGGGGCGGGTGCGGGGCTTGTGTGGGGGAAAGGGACTGCTTTCTGCTGGTGGAATTTGGGTCCTGTTGATGGCCACCGCGTCATCGGGTGAACGTGTTAGAGGCTGTGCTTTTTACCTTATTTACACTCCGCTTAAAAGTTGCACTGAAGGGCTGGTGAGATGGCTCAGTGGTCTAAAGCACCTGCTTAGAACAAGCTCGGGAAAGCACAGGGACCGCGGTTCGATCCCCCAGCACCACATGCCAGCCAGCCCCGCCCCCTGGTGGGCTGAGCTGGACACACACACACACATATACACATAAATTAAAAAAAAAAAAAAAAAAAAAAAGTTGCACTGAAAAAAAAAAGAAAAACAACTGCGTAGAACCAGATTTGAAGTAGCCAGCTTCTACACATTAGTGGCCGGAGCCGTTAGTGACAGGTGTTACTGCGTCTTTGCAGCACGCCAGTTGACATTGGGTATAAATAAGTTTCTGAGATCTAACTAATAAAAATTTTAAACGTTTACAGTTGATTATGAGGTTAATGCCCATAAATATTGGAATGACTTCTACAAAGTTCACGAAAATGGGTTTTTCAAGGATAGACACTGGCTTTTTACGGAGTTCCCTGAGCTGGCACCTCGGCCAAACCAAAATCACTTGAAGGATCTGTTCTTGGAGACCGAGAAAGGTGGGCTCTCTGACTGCCGAAACACTGAGGGTGGACCTGGCTTGACAACAGAACAACGCTCGTGTTCCTCAGCCAGCCTGAGATGTGAAACGCAGACAGCCCCTGAGGGGCAGACTCAGAAATCAAGCCCCCTGCAAATGTGTGCTGACAAGCTGCCTGGATCCTCGGCCACCTACCGAATTCTTGAGGTAACCTCCTTTCGTTGTCCTGGTAGTGGGGTTAACTGTCACACTGCACACAGCCCCTCTGGTGTGGTCTTGCACAAGCCCCTCAGCTTTGTAATGGCTGAGATGGAGATAATGTGTATGAAATGGCTAAGAATGTCAGGTATATAGTAAATCCTCAGTAAATTGTTACTATTTTTATTATCCCACCCAGCTCTATGTTTAAAACAGGGTTGTGAGGCTTCTCCTTTTGTAAATTTTCAACTTGATCTCTTTGTTCAATAATTATAAAGAGGAGCTCAGTAGGGAAGTGTTTCCTCAAGCCAGGTGTGGCAGCACACACCTGTCATCCCAGCACTCGGGAAGCTGAGGCAGAAAATTGCCATGAGTTCGAGACCAGTCTGGGCAACAAAGTGAGCTCAAGGGCAGCCGCCTGAACTGCCTAGTGAGACCCTGTTCTAAAAAGACAGAAAAAGAAAAAAAGAAAAAAATTTAATTCACAGAGCCATTTGTTACAACTCAAAAGGTAAAGAAAAGAAAAGCCCATGTTTTTTCTAGACCAGCTCTCCTCTGGTTTGAAAGCCCTGTCTTGGGCTGGGGAGATTGCTCAGTAGATAAGTGCTTGCCTGGCAAGCGCAAGGGTCTAAGAAAAAGGAAGGAAAGCCCTTTTGTGGTGGTGTCTGTAAGGGTCCCTGAGGTCAAGACAAAGAGCTGTAGCTCAGTGTTAGCCTAGTTAGCATGCCTGAGGCCCTGGAGCCCGCCCCTAGCACCGCACAGAAAAGGAAATAACCTGATTTTCCCCTTAATATAATTGCATAAGGCTAATTACTGTTGGTTACTGACTATATAGAATCAGGAAATTAATAGTAATAGAGTCTGTTGTAGAATTAATAGTTTCTTTGTACCTGCAGGTTGGTTGTGGTGTGGGAAACACTGTCTTTCCAATTTTACAAACTAACAAGTAAGTATAGTATGTTGTCAAGTTTATGTGAAAACAAAAACAGAGTTGTGTTTTTTCAGAACTTACTGTATCAGGTGAGGTGGTGTACACCTGTATTCCCAGGGGAGGCTGAGGCAGAAGGATCCTTTCAAGTTCTAGACTAATCTGGAGTACAAAGTGAGCTCAAGGCCATCTTGAGCTGCATAGCAAGAACCTGTCTGAAAAAGACAAAATTAAGTAATTAATGAAGCCTGTTGCAGTATTATTTTTCCTCTGTCTCTGTGAGGAGCAGTCAGTGGCCAGCCTGCCATTCCTCCTGTGATAAAAGTTGTGAAAGCTGACTTCTCCCCTAGTCCCCCAGTCTTGGGGGCTGAACCCAGGGCCCTCACCGAGCAATTTCCCCAGCCCTTGTTTATTTTTTATTTAGACGAAGTCTTACTAAGTAACTAAGTTGCCTGGGCTGGTTTTGAGTCTGTGATCTCCCTGCCACAGCTTCCTAGACTACTAGGGTTACAAGCATGCTCCATCATACCCAGCAGAAAGCTGACCTACATGAAGATCCTTCCTATGCTGTACATTCTTAGTCTTTCACAGCAAATGGAAATACGGCTTGCTTCAAAGATTATGGTCTTTTAAACATTTTTTTTTTAATTTTATTTATTTATGTGTGTGTGTGTGTGTGTGTGTGTGGCCAGCTCAGCCCACCAGGAGGCGGAGCTGGCTGGCATGTGGTGCTGGGGGATTGAACCGCGGTCCCTGTGCGTTGCTAAGCTTGTTCTAAGTAGGTGCTTTAGACCACTGAGCCATCTCACCAGCCCCAAAGATTATGGTCTTGAGGGGCCGGGGAGATGGCTCAGTAGGATAAGCGCTTGACTGGCAAATGCAAGAATCTGAGTTCAATCCCCGGTTCTGCAAAAAAAAAAAAAAAAAGATTATGGTCTTGGATACATCATCTGTAATCCCATGGGCCAGTGAGATACCTCAGCGGCATAAGCACCTGCTCTGGCAAGCACAGGGACCAGGGTTCAATCCCTGGTACGACATGTTGCGCCATCCCTGCCCCTCCCTGGGGTATGCTGAGCTGGGAATGAGTCCCAGCGTGCTGGTGCACACCTGTAATCCCAGCACTGGGGAGCTGAAAACAGGAGGATCATTAGGAGTCCAACATATGTAGTGAGACCTTGTACCAGGTACATAAAATGAAAAAAAAAAGGTAAGTTTATAATCCTGGCAACTCAGGCTGAAGCAGGAATATCACACTTTTTTTTTTTTTGCGGAACTGGGCATTGAACTCAGGCCCTTGCACTTGTCAGGCAAGTACTTATTCTACTAAGCTATCTCCCCAACCCCAACATTACACATTTAGCACCAACCTGGGCAACTTAGTGAAATCGTGTCTCAAAGTATTTTTTTTTTTTTAATTTTTATTTATTTGTGTGTGTGTGTGTGGCCAGCTCAGCCCACCAGGGGGCGGGGCTGGCTGGCATGTGGTGCTGGGGGATTGAACCGCGGTCCCTGTGCTTTGCTACAGGTTGTTCTAAGTAGGTGCTTTAGACCACTGAGCCATCTCACCAGCCCCTCAAAGTATTAAGTAAAGAGACTGGGTAAGTGGCCATCGGCTTCTCCAGCTTCCCTACCTGGCCTCCACACTCACCTCCCCAGCCTCTTGGCTCGGGCTATCCTCTTTTATCTTACCTCATTGTTTTGGGGCCTGAGTCCATTTCTACTTTTTTTTTTTTTTTCAGAACCAGGGATTGCACGCAGGCCCTTGCGATTGCCAGGCAAGCGCTTATTCTACTGAGCTATCTCCCCGGCCCACAAGTCTCATCTAGTAGTGAGACCCTGAACACCTTGTAGACTCTTCCCTAAAAAAAAATACAGAAAAATAAGGGGCTGGGGAGATGGCTCAGTGGAATAAGTGCTTCCCTGGCAAGCACAAGGGCCTGAGTGCAATCCCCGGTTCCACCAAAAAAAAAAAAAAAAAAGAAAGAAACCAGAATTTAAAAAAAAAAAATAGTAAAATAGACTAGAGACATTAAAGGCTATACACTTAGAGGGTCTTCCTATACTGTTCAGGAGGTAAGCTCAACTTCCAAATGATCCTTCTGCCTCAGCCTCCCCTGTGCTGAGATAACAGGAGAGCATTACCTTGCCTGGCAATTACTTGGTATATTTTATTTTTTAAAATTCCTTAAGGGCCGGGAAGATAGTGCAGTAGAATAAGCGCTTGCCTGGCAAGCACAAGAGCCTGAGTTCAATCCCTGGATCCACCAAATTAAATAAATAAAAATAAAATAAAATTCCTTAATATATTTTAACAAACCAGGGGAAAATATAAAGTCCCCACAGCAAAAAACATGGTAAACTTTTATCTCACAAACACTACAGGGGCTGGGGAGATGGCTCAGTAAAATAAGCACTTTCCTGGCAAGTGCAAGGGCCTGAGTTCAATCCCCGGTTCTGCCAAAAAAAAAAAAAAAGAGACTGGGGAGATGGCTCAGTAGAGTTAGCGCTTGCAGGCAAGGGCCTGAGTTCAATTGCCAGTTCTGCAAAAAAAGTAAAGAATTATCCATAGGGAAAAAAAGTATTAATGAAGATAAAAATGAGTCGGGATGGCAGCTTCCACAGCTTCACTGTGCCTTTGTCCTTTTGTGGTGCTGGGGAATTGATCCCAGTGTCCTGCTTGGCAAGAAGCATCCCGGAAAGGGCTCTGCCACTGCTCCACAGCTCCTGGCTGGTGCCTTTTTTTTTTTGGGGGGGGGGGACTGGGGATTGAACTCAGGCCCTTGCACTTGCCAGGCAAGTGCTTGTTCTACAGAGCTTCCTAGCCTGTTACTAGTTTTTTGTAGTGCTGGGGTTTGAACCCATGAAATTCCCATACTACCACAACAACTGAATTTTTAGTAGAGCCACAGAAATTTATAACTCAATAAAGAATTCAGAACATAGAATGTCAGCCCATCTTATAAATGAACAAGCTGATCCAGAGAACAGAACTGGATTTGCAAGCTCACTTTGTAGTTCCCTAGTTTGTGTCATTTAAGTAAGATTACTGTGTCCAACACCTTCCTAGTATTCACTGCTGATGTAATTTACTGGCTTGGAGTTGACTGCAGGCTTTCTACTGTCTGTGAATTGATTTTGTTTTGTTTACCAACTTTCAAAGCCTTAGGTAGGCTTTTATCCTAGGAAGTATGTCTCAATAAACTGGTCACACACTGTCTTTCTCTGACTACCTTCTCAAAAAGCTCTATCATTTCTATTTGATTGTTTCCTTCAGGTTATAGTTCAGAAACCTAGAAAACTTCTCTAATTAATATAATTATAACTACAGTCATTCCAACCTTTCTAAGTTTCTTTTGTTAACTTAATGGTTACTTTCCGTCAGAAGTTCCTGACATTTTTTAAATAATCAATTCTAGGGCCAGCGAAGATAGCTCAGTGGACTGAAGCACCTGCTTAGGCAAGCACAGAGTCTAGGCGTAGTGGTGCACGCCTGTAATCCCAGTGCTGGGGAGGCTGAAAACAGGAGGATCGCTGTGAGTCTGAGCTGCATAGTGAGACCCTATAACACCCAAATACATTTTTAAAAATTCCGGAGTTACAGTGGTTTTATATTTTGATGTATTCTAAATAAACATGTTTCATCCAGTTTAAAAGTTAGCCTGATTGGGCTGGTGAGATGGCTCAGTGGTCTAAAGCACCTACTTAGAACAAGCTCAGCTAAAGCACAGGGACCGCGCTTCAATCCCCCAGCACCACATGCCAGCCAGCCCCGCCCCCTGGTGGGTTGAGCTGGCCACACACACACACAAATAAATAAAATTAAAAAAAAAAAAGTTAGCCCGATTATATTTTGTATATTGCTGTCTGTGCTAAGACTGGGGCTACGCATTAAGGATAACAAGAAAAGCAGGCCCTGGGGTCCTGTGTGTTCCCTGGCCTCCCCAGAACCCAGGTGGCATCCATCGGTGTGCATGTAGTGGGCGTGGGTGCTGCACCTGCCTGGTGCGGGTACTTTGCTCTAGACTGTAAGGAGGGGACAGGCTGGCCGGCTGCCTGAGCTGCTGCGCCCCCCTTTGCTCTGCTTTTTGCCACTTCCATAGAAGGTTGCTGACTGCCTTTGAGCCAGCTGAGCACGGACTGAAACTAAAGAAACCTTTCCTTAGTTTTGAGTGTCGAGTTATTTGTCCTAGAGAAAGAGGCCATCAGTCCTCTCACACCACTGTGAGGTGGCTCACGTACACGCAGCTGGCTTCCTAGTGTGGAGAAGAAGCCACAGTAGCTCGGGGAGAAGACCAGCAATGTGGCTGTTTGTTTATTTGGTCTTTTTGAGGCTGGGCTCAACTAAGCAGTTCACACTGGCCTTCAGCTCACTGTGTAGCCCAGGCTGCTCTCAGCTAGCAGTGGTCCTCCTGCCTCAGCCTTCTGGAATGCTAGGATTACAGGCATGCGCCACCACACCCAGATTTGAAGGCAAAGTAGATGTCAGTGGACAAAAGGTTACTTTGAAAATCGTTATTTTATAAAACTAGTATTATAGTAAATATATCTGTGGGACCTAAACAAAGATGTAGATTTTAAGAGGTTTTTGTTTTTTGTTTTTTTTTTTTTAATCTTACTCGTTTGAGGACCAGGGAGATAGCTCAATGGCATAAGCACCTGCCTGGCATGCACAAGGTCCTGAGTTCCATCCCTGGTACCACCAACAACAAAAAAAGATGGATGTAGTTTATTTATTTGATACAGTGTCTCACTGCTACATAGACTGGTAATGACCCTCCTGTCTCAGTCTCCCCAACGCTGGGATTACAGGCATGTGTCACCACACCCAGCCTCGTGACTCCCTCAGGGTCCCCGGAGGCAGGTCTGGCAGCCTTTGGTACAGGGGATCCAATCCTGTCCTGCGTTTGCCTAAGCAGGCACTTAGATCTCTGTGCTTTCTATCTCCCGGGCCCAAATTTTAAAAAGTTTAACCAAAATATAATATGTTTTTTAAAAAATAGGAGCTTGGAGAGATGGCTCAGTAGAATAACTGCTTGCCTGGCAAGCACAAGCCTGAGTTCAAACCCTGGTTCCACAAAAAAAGATTAAGAAGTAAATAAAAGAATAGGTAGATACAGATATTGTGTTGTAAACAGTATCTTTTTTTTTTTTTTTTTTTTTTTTTCAGAACCAGGGATTGAACTCAGGCCTTTGCGCTTGCCAGGGAAGCGCTTATTCCACTGAGCCATCTCCCCGCCCCGTAAACAGTATCTTTGACTGAATGATACACTATTTTTGCCGTGTGGCATTTTGACTACTACACAATGAAGAGACTGTCCAGTTTGTAACCTAACTGTTCTGTTCTTTTTCTGCCCATTTCAGTGACCCAGGCCTCTTTGTTTATTGTTGTGATTTTTCCTCCACAGCTGTAGAGCTAGTCCAGGTAAGTATACGGCTCCTACCAGTAATTTTACTAGTTAGAGGAAAGAGTGGTCACCTAAAAGCCAAAGTCACTATGTTGTTGTATTGTCCCCTGGAAGAAAAAGATTCACCAAAGCAAGGGGGAGAAAGAGCCGCACACTCAACTGCAGACCTCTGTGTTCGGTTCTTGACTTGTCCACAATTAAGATTTTAAGGCCTGAAGCGTGATGGTTCTTCTGAACATGGATGGAGATGCACGCCTATAATCCTGGGAGCTGAGGCAGCCTAAGCGACTTAGCCACTTAGTGAAACCCAGACTCAAAAGACTGAGCTTGGGCATGGTGGCGCAGGCTGAGGCAGGGCGATCACCAAGAATTCAAGGCCAGCCTGAACTGCATAGCAAGACCTGGCCTAAAAAAATAATAAAGGAGGGCCGCGGAGATGGCTCAGTAGAATAAGTGCTTCTCTGGGAAGCGCAAGGGTCTGAGTTCAATCCTCGGTTCCGCCAAAAATAAATAAAATATCATAATAATAATAAAGGAAATGTTCAGTCAGGGGTAAGCTGCGATAAAGAAACATGTAGATAAACAGAATTCATAGACGTGAAAGGTACAGTGTATAGCCCGGGCCTGAAACGGTATCACATACCAAGGAAAGGAGTGGGAAGTAAGACGGTGCTCCCCCTCCTGTCGCAGCTCCCTCAAATGGAGCCCGAGGTGCTGACCACCCCACCGCCAGGCACCCATTTGTTCTTTTTGCATTTGCGTTAGACCCTGACATGCTTGCTCCTGTATAAGCCCCTCTTGTAGTCCCAGCAAGACTGACCCATTGCAACGTCCCCGGAGTCTGGCTAGGACTGCCTTGCTCTACTGTCCTCTAGCCAGTGAGAAGCGGGGCGTGCTTTACGTAATTCATGCTGCTTCTAGTACAGGAGCTCAGGGGTTGGTAGTTCTGTCTGTCTGAATTACTGTTGTAGCTCAAGACCTGAGGAGTGGCTGGATGTCATGGCATGCGCCTGTAGTCCCAGCACTCAGGAGGCTGAGGCAGGAGGATTGCCACCAGCCCACCTGGGCTATGTAGTAAGTTCAAGGCAGCCTGAGTTCTGTAGCAACATCCTGTATAAAAAACCCGGACAAAACAAGAGACCAGATGAATGCCATGTTTACCTCAATTGTATAGTTTAAAAAGTTTAAGTTAACTTTTGTGTCTAGAAAATTGGATTTTCCTGAAGAAATCTGTCTGTGTGATACTCTAGTTAGGAGTTGTCTTTTTTTTTTTTTTTTTTTGCGGTACCGGGAATTGAACTCAGGACCTTACACTTGCCAGGCAAGCACTTATTCTACTAAGCTATCACCCCAGCCCTAGGAGTTGTCTTAAATCATGCTTTTTAAATATAGTTTGTTGGGGCCGGGGAGATGGCTCATAGAATAAGAGCTTCCCTTGCAAGTGCAAGGACCTGAGTTCAATCCCTGGTTCCGCCTAATAAATAAATAAAGTTTGTCTTCGCCCCTGCAGAGTTTTATTTTGCTGGTCGTTTGCTTTCCTGGTCATTCTCCAACCCTCAGGTCTTATTTCATAGATGAGAATGGCAGGAATAAAATTAAAAGGACGTAGAGTACTTGCTTTTGAAAGCACACTTAGATTGCACGCGGTTCTCCCTGGGCTGCTCCGCTTCTTACCCCAGAGGCCCCCTGGGAATGCTTGTGCTCTGGTGACTAGAAGTAGGTTCCTCTGCTAGAGGGGGAGCAGGTGGTGATGTTTAAGCAAGAGAAACTTCTCCAGGGTGTGTCTCCACCTCCTGACTCACGTCTCTTCACCTGCAGACAAGCTCGGAGTATGACCCGGCTCGCTGCTTCGCCTTCGTTCATGACCTCTGTGACGAGGACCAGCCTTACCCGGTGCCTGAGAACAGCATTGATGTTGTCGTGCTCATATTTGTTCTTTCAGCCGTTGTTCCGAACAAGTACGCCTTATGTTCCCTAACTAGTGCCCCAGAAGACAGGCCTTCAGTCGGAGACCGTGGAGTAAGGGGCCTAACTTCAGGGCGCTGCCTTTGGGCCAGCGAGCTAGCTCAGCAGACTAAAGTGCCCGCCAGGCAAGCGCAGGGACTTCTGTGTGATCCCTGGTACCCCTTGCCACACCAGCCCCACCTCTGGGGCGGGCTGAACCAGCCACACAAAAAAAGTGCCTGCCTTCTGTTCTGCTGACAGGAGCAAGCCAGGACTAGCGGTGTGTGGCCGGTTATCTGCCTTAGGTTTCCATTCCCTGCAGGCATGAGTCTCTTCATGACTGTGGTAGAAGAGCAGTCTGTAATTTAGGAGATGTGACTTCCAGAAGCCTGCTGTTCCAAGCTGTGGGGACCACAGTCTGGTTGTTGGTCTTTTTAAGTACTTGAAATAAAGCAAGCTTATTAACAGTACAGAACTTACACAGGAGTTCAACTAGGGTGTTCTAAAGCTTAGGTTTTTCAGAAACTGAGTATAAGCTGGGTGTGGGGGCGCACCCCTGTAGTCCCAGCACTTGAGAAGCTGAGGCAAGAGGATAGCTCAAGGCCAAGGTGGACTGCATGGCAGAACCCCCCACCCCCCAAAAAAGACAGTACAGAATTCCACACAATCGGGTTTGGATGAAAAGAGTCAAATGGAGAACCTTAGATGACAGCCTGGAAACCTGTGCAGGGACCTGAAGCACAGTTCACTGAGAGGGCTTGCGTACTGGGGGGAGCCCTGGGTTCAATTCCCACCACACACACACCAAGGTGCGCCGGCACAGGCTAGTTGTAGCCAGGGAGGAAGCTGAGGCTGGAAGTCTGCAGCCGGCCAGCCTGAATGGTGTAAAGACACCTCACCTCTTTTTATAAAAGAAAGGCAAACCTCAGCCCTCGTGTGCAGCAGTCTTGATGCCGTCTCAAGGCGGCAGGCCAGGGAGAGGCAGGCACCATCGGCCCAGCGCTCGACACTGCTGAAGTGAGCTGGACAAACAGCTTGACAGGCACCAGCGGTCTACACAGCACACGCCAGCTCTAGGGTTAGTGTAGTTTCTAGAGACCTCAGACCTCTACTCAGGCAGGAGTTTTAACACGAGTTTGAGACTAGCCTGGATGGTGAAGCCCTGTCCCCAGCAGGCAGAAACCCAGCTGTCTGCTTTGTGAGTGTCGGGGTCAAAGGCCCTGCACTAACTGGAGCTAGGCATCAGGTATGCAGGTGTCAGCAAGTGAGATCCCGTGGCTGAAGTGACACGGACTCGCTCCTGGCTCTGCAGTGCCGAGCGTGAGCTTTTTGACCTAGTTCTCCAGCCCACTCTTCCTTGAGAATAACAGTCGCCCAACCCAACGGTGTTACGCCGCTCTGAAATACCTCTGCGGGTTTGCCGTGTGTGCGCTCCCAGATGTGTGACCACGCGGTGCCATGGCATGATTTTTGAAGACTGCTGTGTATATTCTTCTCTCACTGTGAAGAATATTGAAATAACTTCTAAAGAGAAGGCTTATCCATCCGGACTTGATTTCTAAGCTCTATTCTGTAATTATTCGGTCCTGTAGTTCTTAGGCCTTGCACAGTGTGCAAGCAGCGCGTTGTGGGCCACGCACGTGGGGAAAGCACACTACCTTCATGTGCGTGGAGAGTTCGGGTCTAGTGGGGCAGCGGGTGAGTCGCTGGCAGGCCGCATACTGCAGGGTCGGGCTCCCCACACCACGGCAGTTGTGGTCGCACGGCCAGAGGACACCAGCCGGAGTCCTAACAGTGTTCCCAGAGCAGACAGCCCCTGGGCCGGTCCAGCTATAGGAGGCCAGAGGGCTGCGGTTTCAGGGTGGGTGAGGCAGTTAAGAGAGTCCTTTGGTTTTAGGGCGGGGGGGGGCCTGTGCTCCACTGAACTGGGCTTCCTGTACCTGTGGAAACCTAATCTTCTGTGCTTTTCCACAGGATGCAGAAAGCTATAAACAGGCTGAGCAGGCTTCTGAAGTCTGGAGGGATGATGCTTCTACGAGATTATGGCCGTTATGACATGGCCCAGCTCCGTTTTAAAAAAGGTACTCTGGGGCTGGCAAGATAGCTGAACGGTCTAAGCACCTGCCTGGCAACAGCAAGGGCACGATCCCCGGTACCACGTGCTATGCCGGTACCACTGCTGTGCCAGCCCCAAAACTGGGCATGGTGGCTCATGCCTGCAATCCCAGCACTGGGGAGGCTGAGACAGGAGGATCACTACAAGTCTGAGCTGAGTAGCTGAGCTGCATAGCAAGACCCTGTACCAAATAAATTTTTTTTTTTTTTTTTTTTGGTGGAACCAGGGATTGAACTCAGGCCCTTGTGCTTGCCAGGCAAACGCTTATTCTACGGAGCCATCTCCCTGGCCCCTGCTAAATGAAATAAGCGCTTCCCTGGCAAGCGCAAGGGCCTGAGTTCAATCCCTGGTTCTGCAAAAAAAAAGTATTCTGCCACAGTAGTCAGTGATGGTTTTGCTGTCAGCATTCAGGTCAGTGGAAAAAGACTACAGCAAGGGAAGACAGTTACCTTTAGAAGTACTATTTTCAGAAAGGCATTTGGTTACATAAGTAATATTAGATGTAGTATGACAAAAGATGCCATGTAGTATGACAAAAGGCAGGGTGCACTTAGAGGTAGACCAGCTGCCTGGCATGCACAAGGCTCTCAGTAACTCCCTGCGATCTAAGTAAGTAAACAGTGTGAAGACGGTGGGTAAAGCTCTAGCTTCAGTCCCCAGCAGGGAAGAACAAATTGAAAGATGAGTGACAGATTGAAGAGAGTGTCGGTGCTTTGGCAGAGATTACTGGCTTACCCGAGGCTTGTCACAGACGTGGCCAGGGACAGCCCAGGGAACCCCCCACCAAAAAAAGTTCACAGAGGAGAAAGTAAGTGGCCAGTAAAGCTTCAGTGAAGACAGAGAGAGGCTGTTCTCCACTTCCGCTGATGAGTTCAGAGAGAGGTATGTCTCTCCATTTCTGGTGGAGATATAAAATTGCTGTGGCTTTTCTGTCCCTGCTTCTATCCTGGGGTTTGAACTCACAGCCTTCACATTGACCTGCATGCCCAGCCCTTTTTATGTTGTTTTATTTTGAGACAGCACCTCGCCAAGTAGCTTAGGCTAAGCTCAAATTGGAGATCGTCCCACTAACCCAGTGTGCTGGGATTACATATCTGCCCCAGTAATGGCCCAAGGGTCTCACTGTGTGTGGAGGCTGGCCTCGAACTTGCTTAAAGGGTCCAGCCCAACCTCAGCCTAACAAGGATCCTCCTGCCTCAGCCTCCCAAGGGCTTGGATGACAGGTGTGCGCCACCATGCCAGCTATTTTTAATTAATTACCATTTATTGGTACATTTTAGGTGTACATAAGGATCAAATAGGAGTTTGTACCCATACATAATATATTTTTCCCATTTCCCTACCCTCCTTTTAGTCCTTATTTACAAAAGCTGTAGCCATATTTTCCTTTATTTTCTCAATTTCTTTCTTTCCTTTACCTGTCCCCTCCCTCCCTACTTCCCCTTCCCTGTTATTTTCTTCCTATTTCACAAGACCTGGTACACATTTTGGTCCTCATGTTACACTTCAGTTTCTCACACCAAAGAAACAAGCTAGCATTTACATATGTGTCCAAGTTATCTCACTCAGCCTTGGCCTTTTTTTAAGCACCCTGGTGTTGTTCAGTCCAACAGATCTTAGGAGAGTCATTCAACATTTTTTTGATTTGAGGCACATAATATATATGTTTAAGCAAAATCTTGGAAGCACAGTTAATGCCTCTGAATAGAGGTGTGCTTTAAACATACCTACTGTAGCTGCCGGGGAGATGGCTCAGTGGAATAAGCGC